TCATATCCAACTCCTACCATCGCTCCACCACCGCTACGCCCAAGGCTACCTTTCTTACCCGGATTTCTCAACAATCTACAACAAACTTCGTGATCTCGACTCAGTCCACGACTACTCCCTTCACGACCAACTTCTTTACATTGACACCAAAGGCACTCGCCAACTTTGCATCCCCGACGCATGTGGCCTCCGTACGCAGCTCTTGGCCGAGCATCATGACGCCAAGGCTGCGGGACATCTCGGGTTCCAGAAAACCTTCGACAACATCTCTCGTTACTTTTACTGGCCTTCCCTATTCGCCGACGTCAAAGCCTACATTCGCTCATGCCCCACATGTCAAGCTGTCAACCCCTCAAACCGCGCCAAGGCCTGCAAACTACAATCGTTGCCGATCCCCACCCATCGGTGGCAGTTCATCTCCGTGGACTTTGTCTGCGACTTTGTCTGCGGTCTCCCCAAGACCGACCGCGGACATGATTGCATATATGTCATTGTTTGTCGCTTGACTAAACGTGCCCACTTCATCCCTTGCACCACATCGCACAACACCAAGGACGTCGCCATTCTCTTCTTCGACCATGTCGCACACCACCACGGTCTCCCCGAGAACATCATCAGCAACCGTGACCATCGCTTCCTTTCACAATTTTGGAAACACCTCTTTAAAGCTTACGGAACCACGCTCAAGTATAGCACTGCATTCCACCCACAGACCGATGGACAAGCTGAGAAGATGAACGATACTCTCCAAAGAATCCTGCGGAAGTATTGTCATCCACGTCAACACGATGGGTATCAGTTGCTCACCACCGCCGAGATCGCCTACAACAATGTTGTCTGTCCTTCCACTGGCATGTCTCCATTCTACCTTGACCTTGGCTATCATCCGCGCTTGCCCGCCGACTTCCTGCTCCCTTCGCAACTCAACCCCTCCACCCCCTACCCTTCTCTCAATGAATGGGTAGCAACAATGAACAGACTCCTCAGAGAAGCTACCGAAGCCCTTGAACGAACACAAGAACAAGAAGCCAACAAGACCAACAAACACAGACGAGACGTAACATTCAAAGTAGGGGACAAAGTCTGGCTCTCTGCCAAACGCTTTGAACCCGAACACGGCTTGTCCAAGAAACTCTCGAACAAATGGCTCGGTCCCTTCCCCATCATTGAACAAACCTCACACATCAATTACAAGCTCCAACTCCCTCCTGACATGAGTCGTGTCCACCCTGTCTTCCAGCAAGAAGAATACCATGAATCCCCACCCCAATTCGCTGACCGCCCTTACCCCAGACCTCCACCGATCATGCTTCCCACAGGCCCAAAATTCGTAGTAGAATCCATCATAGGTCGACGAACCACACAAGTATCAGACCATCCAGAACCAATCACAGAATACAAAGTTAAATGGACCGGATACCCTGACAAAGAATCCACATGGGAACCTCTTCCCAGCCTTAAGAATGCTATGAAACTTGTTCGCGCCTATGATCGTGCTCACCATATATCCTAGATACATAATATAACTCAAACCCCAAACCCTTGCATAAACCCCGCCTTGACCTCGCCAAAACCCCGCATTCCTGCTCTACACACACCCCTGTACCCAGCGAAGCCCTTGCCTCTTGACCCCCCCCCCTGTCTGATCCGCTCTTGCCTCCGCCTTGCCCCGTTCTCCCATCTGTCCTCCGCCACATCCTTGTCTCTCTTGTCCAAGTCCTCTATGTGGCCCCTGCGCGTCGCTGGTGATAATGGATCTAATGGCAAGCGCGCGAGGACGATGGCATGCTGCAGCTCAGTACGAGGAGATAAGACAGCTGGTTGGCCACCATGCTGTTCCCTTTGACCGGCACCTTGGATTCACAGACTTCTGGAGCAGCACCTCTGACATGGACATCAAGATCAGTCTGCGACCTGCTATCCGGATCAGACCTCATCATCAGATCATGTACCGGATGCAACCTGCTACTGCGACAATCAAGCTGAAGTCCTCGCCGTCTACATCACGGAACTGCTGAAGACTGTTTCCTCATCGCCACTTCTGTGACACCCTCGAGGACCTTCCTCAAGACATTTCCTCGCTTTTGACACTTTGTTACAGACCTGAGACGTTGTTTTCCCAGACCCCTCAGACACCCCAGCACTTGAGCCTTGAACAAACAATTTTTTTTTTTTTTTTTTTTCTTTCTCAAACCTGACAGCCTACAACCTTGTAGAACACCAATAGGACCTCCCGGTTACCTGTAGAACCTCAGTAAGATTACCCTGTTACTTGAGCATTGATTCCCTCATCCCTGTAGAACCTCAATAGGATTACCCTGTTACTTGAACATTGATTCCCTCATCCCTGTAGAACCCCCATAGGATTACCCTGCTACTTCCATTACTCCCCCTTTCCTTTTCTGACCAGTGATCGGCCCCGTCCCGTCCTTCACAGTTATTCATTGGGTCTTTGGCAGCCTGGACGTTGCCTTCCAGAGGGAGGGGATAGTGTTACGGACCCAGCCAGGGCTCGATCCCTGGTCCGCGGGTTACCACCCGCCAGGCTGCTATTCTTTTTTTTTTTTGGAGTCTCTGATCTCCAGTTCCTGACTGTTGGCMCCCTCTGCAGTTGGCGCMCGTTCTCAAATCCCGCCTCTGCCACTTTCGGATTTCGTACTTGGCGCCATCCGGCATTCTGGCGCCCAGGCTCAGACCTTCGATTTTCAGTTCAGCCCCGAGGCAATTGCACTTTTGCCCTCGGACTCAACTTGAGTCCGGTACTTAAGACCAGACTCAAGCTGAGTTTGGGGACTTGGGGACTCAGTTTTCAGCCTCAGTGCTTGTGCTTCAGTGTGACTTGCTGCGACATTGTGTACGGAACCAAGCTTGCGACTTTGTGACTTTGCCACTTTGTGTTCGCGTCGGTCGAGTCGTGTCGAGTCCGTGTCGAGTTGAGTGGGTGTGTGTGTGTGTGCTGTCACTCCCTCCCTCTCTCTTCCCTGACCTCGCTGCTCTGCCTCAACCCCGTCACAGACATAGTCTCTCCACGGATGTCCAACAAGTGGAGCAGCCCCGCTACCAAGCCCATTTCAACAAGCTCTTTATCGACCTTGTCCACGAGATCGACCTTGTCCAGAATGATGGTCATCTCCTCATGGAAAGCAGTGGTCCGCCCTCACCATCTTCTCCACCCACGCTACATTGCACACACACCAATCAAGTGGATTCCTCCCGCTCTTCAACAAGTCCAACATGTTGAAGTTTGTGGCAAATCACGTGGCTGCCGGCCACTTCCACTTCAACTTTGGGGAATATTTGTAATACAATGCCCTCGCGTTGTCGATATTCGGGAAGAACTTGCCCAGCTTGTTCCATATGTCGACCATGTTAACCGTCCAACTCGACTTGAGGTTGAGGGCATGCGCAGTACATCGAATGGTTAATAGCCGGCTGGACACCCGGGCGTGTATCCGGGCACAAGCGGGTTGCCTGGGCACCCGGACAAACAGCCTAGATAGTAATGACACCTACATCAGTTTTTGAGTACATGTACTAGAGGCCCGCTTAGTGTTTATATCATACTTGCGGCGCATCCCATGCGCGCCACTCCCGCACATGCGGCGCACTGCGCATTGCGCACGTGGCGCGCGCACCCGGTGCGCCGCATGGGCAAAATTTGGGGTCAACCAAAAAAAAAAAAAAGTTGGGGAGAGGGTGAATCGAAGTTCCCATGCCCAGCTAAAATTCGGACATCGCCCGCGCAAATTTTTTTCAGGGCCGCACTGCCCCAAAAACTGTTTGCTGTACTCCATGCTATCTCCAGTGTATCAGAGTCCTTTCAGAGGTCCAATACAATCATGATGAGGACGCGTCTGTGGAACCGTTGCTTTCCTCTCATTACTTCCAGATATAGAAAACGACAGAACTGGCAGTTGTGTTTCCTTGGTGGCTTTGCTAAAAAAAAAAAAAAAAGAGAGAGACATCGGGCTTCGCTCCACTACTCTCGAAATGCACAAAAGACAAAAATCATGGCGGTGTATCTATCCATGTTCTAGCGGAAGATTCACTCTCGT